AAAGCCAGTGATGCACATTAGCAGCTGTGTGTACCCATCTACAAAGTACAGTGTGGAAATGCACCAAGGCTCCTTCAAAAGCACCTTTCAAACCATCATCTGCAACTTCCCCTCTAAGCCACTCACCACCTTGACTTGGAAATATATTACCATCCCTTCAGTATCACTGGATCAAAATCCTGGAGTTCCTTCCCTAACAGCATTATGGGTCTACCTATGCCACGACCTTCTTGAGGCCAATTAGGGATGGGTTATAAATGCTGACATTACCATCACTAAACCCACCACTGTCAACAACCTGGCAAATACTATGGCTCAGTAATTGTGAGAGGGTTAGGCTCAAGGTTAGGACTAGTTACAAAAAATACTGTTGTTACAAGAATTGTTCAGAACTAAGGAATTCTGTACAGAGTAACTCCCCTCCTTACTCCACACAGTCTGATCTCCATCTACGAGGCATAGGTCAAGAGTGTAATGGAATACTCTCTATTTGCCTGGATGGGTGCTGTTTCAGCAACACTCATGAATCGCAGACACTATACAACATGAAGCAACTGCTTGATTGTCAAACCATCCACCACCTTCAAAATTCACTCCTTTTAGCATAGATGCACATTGTGGGCAATGTGTACCAAGTACAAGATACACTGTAACATTCCACAAGCCGCCTTCTACAGGACTTTCCAAATGAGTAATTTCTACCCATAGGAGAAGGCAGCAGACCACTCCATCTTCACTCATAATTCACTGTTGGAGCTCAGTTGCTAGGCAACTGAAGCTTTTATCTGTTTTATTCCCTGTAAGGTGGGATTCTATATTGTGAACTCTGATCCTTGAGGCATACATTTGGCAATCACAGCTCACATTTCTATTTAAATGAGTGATGTGCGGCTCAAAATGATTCCAGCTTTCTCTGCAAAAAAAAACGGATCTCAGTTAGTGCCCTTGTTACATCATATTATAGTGGGAAGCTATCCAGAGGATTTACACATTTTCATAGAAAAGGATAAGATACAAAACCAAAGAAACAAAAAAAACTGAAGATGCTGGAAATCAGAAACAAAAACAGAAGTTGCTGGAAAAGCTCAGCAGGTCTGGCAGCATCCGTGGAGAAAAAGTAGAGTTACGTTTCAGATCCAGTGACCCTTCTTTACTGTTTACAACAGTGCATGACTGGCACGGGTGCCTTGTTCTGTTCTGTTCACTGAAGTTCTCCTTCACTCTTCGGTTGTCCTTCCTTGTGCAATGAAGCACTAACAATCGTTATTTATTAACCCTCATTCGCCACTACACCCTATGCACATTCTGCAGAGGGATATAGACAGGTTAAACAAGTGGGTGAAAACTCAGCAGATTGCATAGAATATTGGAAAATGTGAAGTTATGCACTTTGACAGGAACAATATAGAAGTTGAATTTTATTTAAATGGGGAAAGTTTACAGAAAGCCATAGCACACAGGAATTTGGCAATCTTTGTGAATGAATTACAAAAAGTTAGAAGCCAAGTTTAGCAGGTAACAGGGAAGGCAAATAGAACGTTGGCCTCTATTTCAAAGGAAATGGAGTATAAAAGGAGGGAGGCTTTGCTAAAACTATACATGGCACTTGCCAAACTGCAGCTGGACTACTGTGAAGTTTTGGGGCCCTTATTTAAGGAAAGATATTTTGCCATTGCAGGTGGTTCAGAGATGGTTCACGAGGCTGATACCAGGTCTTATGAGGAAAGGTTGAGTCAGTTGGGCCTGTGTTCTTTGGAATTTAGAAGAATGAAAAGTGACCTTCATGAAATCTATAAGATTCTTAGCTTGACAGATGTCGAAAGGTTGTTTTCCCTTGTGGCAAAGTCTAGGAACAGAGGGCATAATTTCAGAATAAAGGAGTCATCCAAATATAACAGAGGAAGAGGAATTTGTTTTCTCAGTGGATTATGAATCTGTAGAATTCAATACCGCAGAGAACGGTTAAGGCTGAGTGGTTAAGTACATTCAAGGCTAAGATAGACAGATTTAATCAGTAATGGAATCAAAGGATATGGGGAAAAGGCAGGAAAGTAGAGTTGAAGATTATTTGGCTCTTTTGCCTTACGGTCTTATCATTTTGTAAGATCACCCCTTCTATAACAACTTTTCCATCCTAGCTTGCAAACTTCACAGATCTTCACCAAGATAACATGTCAACAATGAAGCCTTTTATACATCTGATTAGAATATGTGGTGTTACCTGCCAATGATTACTTGTGTCATAGATAAGACCAAATCCCCTCAATATATTAAGAAAATAGACTAGATCCTAACTACTTTTTATTTTAAAAAAGTAAGTGTAAGGTGTTGTATTCCAGATACAATTTGATTGGTCAAACTACTTGACTTTAAGCAAACACATTTTATTTGCATACTACAATTAAAATGCAGATAAAATAACAATGAACAAAGAGAATTGGCTTAACTGTACATCCATTGAAATGTTTAACAAGATAATATGAATTAACTACAAATAATTAACTGTTCCAATATAGTAACATCCCATAAACGCAGCCTTGGCAAAGGCAAATTCACTAAAATAGATTGTCACACATGCAATTCTAGCAGCAGGAAGAGAACCCAAGCTTTTAGCTGTAACAGAGAGAGAAGTAAGAATTTCCACATCCAGCTTCAAAATTCTAGTAACTGCAGAAAGCTGAAACTAAAAATCCCACCCCCATTCAGGTTGCTTCTGTTGTTCCAAGCTGTTTACTTCATTGGCTTTGAAAAGACTGCTAGCACCACTGCTCAGCCTTTCTTCATTAAAAAGAGGACAAAATACACCTCTTAAAGCCATAGTATTGTCACAATTGTTACCTCAAAATGTCCCCATAGATACGTCCAAAAGGCGAAAACAACTGCAAAACTCACTACACAACCTAATTCCAAAGTTTAATGTACAACCATTATGCCAGTTACATATTTTCTGTTCTGTCATTGAATAAAATCCTTTTACACTAAAGTGTTTTCAGATGTTTGAGTTAAGTTTGTATTAGGTTGAGTCATAAATAAAACATAAAAACCATAAACCCATAACCTTACTTTTGACCTGGGCCACATGGCTTTCTTCATTTCAAAATAGTTTTGCCACTGATCACAATTTAAAAGAAAAATTCTCATTTGTTCAATCTTGTTAAAATTATTAAGTATTGAAAAATAACTCAAATCCAACTACAGGTTTTGGCCAGGATATCAAAATATCTTTAAGTGAGTGGCTAAGCCATGAAACCTTCTGTCACATGATTAAAACTACTGAATCACCTTTAGTTATACCAGTTTTGAATTCTTTCTCCAGTCTTCTTGTAATTACAGAGGAGTAAACAACTCCAAGCCTATCTAATGGCTGCTCATGCTTTCAATCTCTCTCAAAGTCTAATGTCTGTATTTTGTCTGCAAAGTGACCCAATTCCCAAATTGCAGCTGCTGTACCTTCAACTACAATTTCAATGCATCGGAGCTCCTGTGAAAGAGACTTCTGCGTACAGCCACTGAAAGGACCTCCATTGAACACTCTAATTCATGTTAACTAATACCAATTTCTTTGACTAAGTACTGTAATTTTTAACTTGTAACTTTGCCTCCTTTCTTGGATACATATGTGTGAGAATATATGCTGTGAATCACCCTGTCATGTTTTGAATGCGTTATTGGTTCTACTTTGTTTTAACTCTAAGGAATTGGCGTGGGTCTTTTTTAAATTGAAATTCTCAGACAGGGTTTGGAGAAACACACAACTGCCTCTTTTGCTTTAAAAGAGGACTGCGGAAAAAAGAAAACAAATTAAGACCACCTCTATTATACACCAGGACAAGAGGGCAGAACAAGTCATTCAATTCAACTTTCCTTGTTGTCCACGTCATTAATATATATGGAAACAAAATTACACAAAAATAAAATGTGATGTGACCCGATATGTAGTAACAAATTCCACAATCTCAACTAATATATCAGTAATGCCATTCTTAATAAATCAAGAATCAATGACATCTTGTACACAAAATTATTTGTTGGCATTGTACATCTCCATCATAAAAGACAATAATCCTGATCTGTGAGATACTAGTGTCTATACTTGCACATGTTAATTAAATTGTAACATTCCAATTTTTAAAACAATGATTCCTGAAATTATCAACTCTGTTGACACAATCTTGCCATGAAGGCTGTGAATTTATTTAACGTTTAATGTAAAATTTCTTCCTGAAGTACATTTTATAATGTGTCTTTGTTATCATATGTATGGATTCTTAAAGATTAAATATTGTAGGTCCAACTTTATATTTCTTAGGCACAACATAGAAATAGATGTGTATGTTGACCTATTCAACTTGTGAACATACTCAAATTATAATCTTCTTGTATATTGCTAGAAGCCAAAATGTTCATTTGCAAATATGTTATACTACACACTCTCTTGCTATTGCAGTGAGTTATGTATAGAAGCCGAGAACAAATGGCAGTCAAGTGATATTCAAATATTTCTTCCAAGTTTTGTCCACTTCTTAAATGATATAACATTGGGAAGGGTAACACAACTAACATACTAGATTATTATCTGCATTGGCACTAGGCAGTCCATAATGAACAGGTGAGATCACCTTTGATTATATCTTAACTGTGCATCTAGTTTGAGACTATCCTATCTCCTCTACAAGAGGAGATTTTGAGTACAGATGTAAAAACAAAGAAAATGCCCTCATCTTAACTAGAATTAAATTATACATGACCAAATGTAAGTTTTCTAGCATCAGTAATCTGATAACTGAAATGAGACAAGCAGAGTTAGAATGAAAACACTTAAAATATTTGATGAAAAACAAATTAAGAAGGAAGAACTGGACCGTTTATGATTCATAAAGCTTCCTTCATCTCTCTGAAAAAACCATGGATAATGGGTTGACTTAGACCAGGATGTTTAATTATATTTTCATGATGCTGCATTGAATGTTATTGCTGACCTACATTAATTATTAATGTTTTTAGCTACCCTCAAAAAGGAGGAAGCCAGAAAATGTACAATGTCTTTGATGGTCACCATGCAATGCTCCATTTCCCATCCGCAGCCAAACTTCATCTCCTGTTTGAAGCTTAAGCACCCCACTGTTTCCTGAAGTATCATGCTTTCCCTTGGATTCGGAACTGAAAGGTGACATAACAAAAACAAATACGTTACATTTTTCGTGAAGAAGAGGCCTCATCATCCATACCATTTGTTAAAATGACAAAACAGTGAAAATAATTATAATCAAACAAGATTTTATAACATTGATTGATTGAAGTATATATATGTGTGTATGATGATGGCACTATTGGGAAAACATGTTTGGATGAAATACTAAAACATACCTCAGATGTATGAGATGCTGTCCCATGTCAAAGATTGAATGTAGAGCCAAGAAGGATTAGGAGTGACGGTAAACCATAGTCACAATCATGTCATTTATAACTTTGATGCCATGAAAATGTTGAGATAATCTACCAGTTTATAAGAACAGAGGGATCAAGAGTGAATTCTTTTGAGTATGAGGTAAGGGGACAGCTTATAATGTAAGTAAAAAAAGAAACAGTTATTACAGCAATTTTCATGACCTCAAAATGTTTTAAAGCATCTAAGAGCCAATGAAGATATTTTCCAAAGTAGTCATAGTTGCAATACAGGAAAAATGGCAGCCAATTTGCACACAGTAAGATTCCACAAATAACAATATGCTAATGAGCAGGTCATCAGTTTTGGTGCCTTTTTCTTCAAAATAATATTGTGGGATCTCTTATATCCAGCTGAAGTTTTGAAGGGTCATCAATTTAATGTCTCATCAGTTCAATGATACTGTGACAAGTGTGGGCATTGAAAATAATTGGGTCATCAGCATACCATAAGATCCACAAAGTAAGAGGTGTTTTCCATTTTCAAAGTGAGATTAGAGACTCATTAAGAACTGAGAGGGTAACAGGGAGAACAGTGAATACAAAAGGTTAAAAGGTACTCATGGAAAGATACGTTTTAATTGAAAGTAATTGAATTATTTACATTTCTGGCAAATCAACAGAAGCTGGCATGCCGACAGTACTACTTTTACCGTATTTGAAATTGACATGTTGTGGCAGGAATGGATCTGTAACATGTTTGGGAGACAGATGTTACAAATGCACTCTGTTTAAACTGGGTGGTAAATTCTAGCACCATTGGCAATATCAAAAATGTTATTTAAGTATAATATTTATGTATAAGATTGATTGTGCAGGTGCATAAATGGATATTCCTAATTCTGATTACAAACATTTCTTAATGTTTGGTCCAGATTTGTAAACAATGTAAAAGTTCCAATGTTATACAGTGCAAAGAGACTGACAGGATATCATAAAACCGGTTCAAGATGTTACAATCATGTGCATCTGCAGTGCACCATTTTATAGTTTCAATTCATTAAAATGTGAATATTTCATTGGGCGGAATTTTTCAGCGGCCTGAATAATGTGGGCTTTGGAAAAAAAATGACTGAATCACACGAGAGGTCCAGCAAAGCCTATCTCGATATTGGGACTAAGTTGCGGCATCTTTTAGCTAAGTTCTGCATGTTGAGGCAAGTTTCTCACTAGGTGGCGATGAATTTACTTTAACAGGAATTATTTATGGCTAACAACCTTATTAACTGCAAATCTCACCTCATTAATGAGCAACCTTCGATCCAACGATCCGCCGCATGTAAACTAGTTGCCAAGAATTCTAGACATCGAAAGCAGAGCACCTACCTGGTACGCAGTGAAGAGAGGTCAGTGTAGGTCACCAAGCAAGTGCATCTCAGGGCACGATCCAGGGTATCCGCCGCTCTCATACTTCATACTCGGACATTGATACTTGATCATTGCCAAACCCTCACGGTTTCTCATCGGACCTCTTCGATTTATTTGCAGGACACATAGCTAGTTGAGACCTGCATTTTAGCGCTCATTTCTATCTCATATATATCATTAAGACTGTCATTTCTCTCTACTTGACCATTGGTTAATGCTCCAAGATTTGCATGCACGAGTTCCACGTTTTAACAGTAGTCGAAGGAAATGTTGCGATAAATCAACACGAGAGAGTTTAATTTCAAAAAAGCAAATCGGATTCTTCAGTGTCCTGGCTGCTTGAAGCTTGTCTCAGATTTAGTCTGTGCCTTGGTCTTTACCCGGCAAAGATCATTTACTGTTAGCCCGGGAACCGAACTAATTATGACTTGTGAGACAACAAGGTGCAGGGCTGGATGAACACAGCAGGCCAAGCAGCATCATAGGAGCAGAGAGGCTGATGTTTCGGGCCTAGACCCTTCATCAGATGACCCTTTTCTGATGAAGGGTCTCGGCCCGAAACGTCAGCCTTTCTGCTCCTATGATGCTGCTTGGCCTGC